TCTCCTACAGAAACTTATTTTCTCTTTATGTTAGTGAACATATAATTGGGTGAAAAATAACTACATAAACATATCTGTGACATGTAAGTATGTAAACTTATGTGTGCTATAAAATAAAACCATTCTTAAGTGTATAAAATAAAAATCACCCTAACATAAACCGTCTAATACTACAGGCTAGGTTTTGTATACATTTGTTCAATGGTGGAAGAAGTACTTAGTAAAAAGTAAAATATTTGCCTCTAAAATGTAGTGGAGTAAAAGTATGACATAACACAAAATAAAAAATACTCTGGTACAGATGCCGCAAAATTGTACTTAGCTATAGTACTTGAGTAAATATACTTAATTACTTTCCAGCACTGTATTTGTAAAAATAAACTAGACCTGAACCAAATGCAGCATTCAGATGTTGTCTTTGGTTCAGCTCATCAGTGCAATAAAGTGTATAACCATTGTGATGTGTATATATATTTATACACAGATCATGTTGATATACATTATGTCAAAATATTCTTTTATAGATGATGATGCCAGAAATGGCAAGGAGAATACCACGTCCCCATTCATGGTTTGTAGTCTAATCACATGCATGGTGCTTGTGCTTTATTAGGGAAAGTCCCGCCATTCACAACCGCTGATGTGTCACCTGTTTTGTCAGGGTTAACAGACCTTCTGCTGCCTGCACCCTCTCAAAACAGCTTCTGAACGTCTCCCGGAGAAAACTACGCACATCGTTGATTCTGTATGATTAAATTTTCTGACCTGTTTCACGTATTTATGAGAACAGAAGTCATTTTCTTGAAGATACATCTGTTTTTCATATACTTCGAGTAGAGTAGTATTTACAATCATTGATTAAAATAAAAAGATTTTTCAATTACATACATAATATTTTTGGTTTTGTAGAATATTTACTACCTGACAGCAAATGGCTGAAACTGTATAAGTGGAGGAACTGACTGACTGTGACTGAAATTGAAAGATACTTATCTGGGGAAATGTGTTTAGCCAATAAGGGGTCAATAAGTGTCTAAGAAAATAATTTCTCATCTTTTTTTTTGTACTGAAATGAGTTTCTGATACTGTTGAATTTGCAATTCTTTACAGTTTACTTATGAATATTAATTGTAGACAAACATCTCCATAATTTTCCTGAAATGGCCTTTAGCTGTGGAGCCTAACTAATCTGATTAGTAAATAGTCAGAACCAGCTGCTGCTCTTAAATTACAAGAGCCCATTAACAAAACAATAAAGGTTTTTAATATATTTGTTTTCACAGAAACAGAAATGAGGAGTCACATTTTTCTTCAATAAATACAACACAAGACAAAATGCAGGACAAAACAAATGGTATCCATACATGGCAGGTGGCAGAAGGCAACTCAAGAAAGAGAGGTCTCCATAGAGAACTTGGCGTTTCTCTTTTGTTTTCATTTCACATTCGCTCCGCTGAGGAATCGAAGCCATTTGGTGATTAGAACAAACAGTGTTCTGTGCTGAGCAAAACAAACAATTAAAAGATAAAATGTTTGCTAAGAAAGTGAGAAATCATAAAAACACAAATCATCAGAAAAAATAACCGAGGTAAAGCGGTTAAGACAAAAACACCTTTACATAAGTTGTCACACATACAGTAGATGGCACACGCACTCTCATTAGCACCTTTTTTAATTCTCCCTCTCACAGCCTGATCCACAGGCTGCAGCGGTGTGGCACAGTTTCAGCGGCGTACACGGCTCTGAAAACCTTACAAACCACACAGTGAGGTTTGTGGGTCAGAAACAGCAGAATACAAGAGGAGAGCAAACATAACCAATGTTTGCTGATGCAGTACAATCACTATGTAAATAGTGGTTCCCTTTTTTGGTATGCGATGGTCAAGTCTGTTCTTCCCCGTCCTTTTAAAAATATATGGTACCGGCCACCTCAGTAAATGTTTATTTCCAGTGTTTCTCCTGAAATTCAGCAGCATGACGGTGTACAGTAACTGTCACCAAGTGTTTTCTTAACATTCAAATAGCTGCTCCCCCATCGTTCACTGGCTGTCATCGTAAACTCAGCGTTTGAGCTATCAGCTCGTGTAAAGGATCCGATCATGGTCAGCCTTCAAGCCTTGTGTTCTTTTGGTGACTCCACCTGTATGGAAGCCATCAGACTGATCATCAGCTTGGGCGCTCGACCAGCATCACACAGGTAGAACAGTGCTGCTTCTGTCACAGTTGACTGGATGAGGTGAGTCAGCCTGAATGTTGGGTGCTGTGTCGGTGTTGTTGGTACTCTGAGGAGGAGAGATGGCCACACCAGATGACAAGATGTTGTGTGGCAGTTCAACAGACTGACGGATGCTCTCTTCATATGTTGGAGGTGGCTGTAGGAAAAGTAAAGACAACAAGACACAAGATACTCATTTAAAGATGTACTAATCAATATTTTGATACTGCAAATAGATCATATGACTGCTTTTAATGTGAAAGTTCTCACTTGTGGCGAGGAAACCAGAGAAAATATCATCCAACTGTAAAGGTTCCCTCACCTCTTTGGACGTTTGGTTTTCAGGCCCCACGTTTCACTGTTTTGTTTCAGTCTCACTGGACTTTCGAACTTCATTTCCAGCTGTCGCATGTAACTGTTTTCATTGTGCAGCAGCTAAAGCCTAATATCTCTCTCAGCTGGGCAAACATTACTCTGAATGAATGCTAATGCTTCTCTGTGTCTGTTGGATGTGTAAATAGGCAACTACTCGCCAACATGTTTTCAGGTAATAATATATCGGATAATTCTAATAATATATAAAGTTTTGTTGTTTGTTTACAGCTTGTTGGACCTCCCCTTCCTTCTCCTGTGGGAAATTAGCTCTTAAGCTGCTAAATGTTCTTCAGCTCTCAGTATGTCTGTGATGGATTTGAAGTCTTTTTACTGAAAGCAGCTGCTTCCTGTAGCTGAAAATGACGCCATGAGAGCAATGAAAGTGAAACAAAATGGCAAAGTTGTGGCCCAACATCTGAACATTATGAGGGATTCCTTTAATAATGCATTGTTTTCACAGTGTCATTTGATATATGGTCATAAAAATATTGATTTTAGCCAATTTGAGGAAGACCTGTCCAAACTGTATTGCAGATATATTTACATCACCAATCTGTCTCCATGTTGGCTGCTTGGAACATGTTTTTGCCCTGTGCGTTATCTTTCTAATCACATCTGGTAAATTCACATAGCCTGACTGAGTCCCCTTATCTTTTAATTGCTTGGGGACCCTCAGGCAACAAAAACAACCCTACGACCCTGCCTTCTGTCTGATACACTCACCACACACACACCAGGCCACAAAGTTTTACTACTACCCTCCCCTGGGGACAGACGACAGATGTGGGAAATTAAGGGGCCATCATTTCTACGAATTTGTGTGTGTGTGTTAGAGAGAGAGAGAGAGAGAAGGGCAGTCATGCTATGGACTGTTTAATCAAAGAAAAGAAAGAAAGGTCAAAGAAGAAATAAACGGTGGAAGACAGGATCACATAGAATCATGCTGGGGCACTGTTTACACTCAGGGTGCAGGCTTTAATTATGTTTGATCTGATTTTTTCTCATTACCTTGTGTGCTCAAGCGTTGTGCGAGTCAAAAACTCAACAAAAGATCAACACAGTAAAACCTTGAAGCAGGACGGCAACACAATTCAACAACAAATATTATGTGAGCTAATAGTGCATCATGTTTAGTGCACTCTGAATGCAATGTGATCTTTGAACAAGCTCTTGTTACAGTATTGTATGACAGCATGGTCACAAGGGAAAAACCCTGCTTCTTATTAGCTCCATTCATTGTGAAACTGCATACAAGGCCTCATAATAAGCTGAGTTTACATGAGCTTTAGCCTTCCTTGAAACTGTAATGGAAGTAAAATATCATCCCTCTTGCTAAGCCTAACATCAGTGTCTGAAATACTCCACTGTCAACGCATTTGTGACTGTATCAACTGCTGTGAGAGTCAAAATCCCTAATTTAGCCCACCTCAGTCACAATGGGTCCGTTGAGGCCGAAGCGATCTGCAATCATCATGTGGATCTGCCTCTGGCGGTCCTTCTTTCGGACACTCTCATAGGAGGGGAGCCTCGGCAGGGGGGTCGCCACTGTGGGCAGGCTGTAGCTGGAGGGCAGGCCGACAAAGAACAGCTGACCTGCCTGCTGAGACACACAAGGGCCAAATCACAGAGGGATGGTTATGAGGGGCAGAAAACAGATGCTTTCATGTGCTGAGGATTTATTGATAATAGCCCAAGTACATCCCATCACTGATACCCCCTTTAAACATAAAGCCCAGTAAGCTGCAGCCACTGAAACCACTTGGGAGGTGGGAACTAATCAGCTCAGTAATATGCGTATTGTACAGTATGTGTAAGATTGAGAGTGTGTCTTTTTTCACATAATAGGGTATGGGGGGGTGTACTCAGGAAGCTGCTTTGTGTTGGTTAACAGCTGATGATGCTCTCTTACCTCAGTATTGTTGTCATTCATGTCATGCGATACATGGTTCATCTGCGCTAAATGAGGAGATCCCACCAGCGTCTGTCTGCTGCTGTACTGAGGAGGAGCACCCTTTAAAACAAGCAGAAAGTAAATTGTTCTGTTAAAAGCATTTGTTAGTTTCTGTTTTAACTTAGTATCATGCATGCTGGGCCCATGCTGTTTGCAATTTGTCAGAAATCCCCTCATTTCGGCACAATTGACTGATTTTCATGCCTTGTTTAATCACTGTGTGACACTGGGTGGTTTAGCAATACCATAAATTATCTGATCAATACAACGACACCCCTCTGATCTCCGTTCCTCCTCCCAGTTCCACCCCCTCTAAAACAAGACCTGTCAGTGTTGCACTGTATGAGGTGCAGGAATCCTGAAAAAAGGCTGCCCAGAAAACGAGGTAATCGCCTTCGGTCCAAATGAGCCTCCTTTGTGTGGAGAACAATGCAATGTCCTACTGTGTCATCGGGCTCCCTAGGCAACAAACCACACCGTGTGGTCCTTTCAGCATCTCTGTACTCCCCTTGTAACTGTGGCAGGTACCTCTTAACGAGCACACTCCAATACACATTATGGCCTTGGATGTCATGTGGGCAGGCGTCACAACAAAGTGAGTTTGTTGCCTGACTGAGATTTAACTCCAGCATGAGGATAAGACATGCTACGACAACATTCGCTACTAACACTAAAGAGAGTCAACACAAGTGCGAGTTCAGCATTCGGTAGATATTAAATTAGCACTTTCCCAGACCAGTTTAAACAGTGACATCACTCACACTTAGAGTGATGCACCCCTATGACCTTTGCCATAACCCTCACATCATTTCAGAGAGACGACACTAAAAAGGTGATGTCAAAGGTCATTTTCCCTCGCTGGTTTGTACTTTTAAGACGGAAAAAAAAAAGTCCTCAGGAAAGAGAAAAAAGGAGCGCTGTCCTTTTGTCTGCTGCCAGTGATTCAACCAGTGTGAAAAAGCACAGCCGTGTAAAATCACTGTTGAAGTCGGGGGTGGACCCCAGCGGCAGTGTGCCTTTTTCACTACTGCAACCTAAAGGAGATCCATTGTCCGCCTTGCGTCCCCAACACCCACAGAGGGGTCTGTCCACTATTCATGGTGCAAACCGAAGCAGGGAAAGGTATGTGACAATGAAGTTAAAGACATGAAATGTTTCTGAGGAACACAATGACACAGTGTTGTGTGTTTCCCTCCTGAATGACTTCCTGTCCTAACTTAGTGTTAATAAACATGAGGGAAAATACTTGAGTAAATTAATATCCCATAACAAATGAAAATAAACCCTGTCACCAACAAACTTTGGCACCTTACACTCTGTTTACAGACTCTCACGTGTAGCTTACTGTACTGCCCTAAAAGCAAGTTAAGGGACGCAGTGTCATCTTATCAGTTACATAATGTATGGATACAGTCAGTTTGTACCAATGAAATGCTCTGTTAGGCCTTCAGATGTGACAACAGAGCGTCCCCATTCAAGCCGCAGCTGAACGGAGCTTCCTGTTTGTTGAAGGCGGGAGGTATGAGTTGTGTCTCTGTAATCTCAAGATAACACTTGGTCTTCACCCCTGGGACTTACAAAGGTGAGAAACAAGTCAGGAAGAGGAAACAGAGAGAATGGGCAACCAATGAAACGCTACCTCTTCCTTTTCGCCCTTCCAGCACCACCCCCAACAGCTTTAAAGATATGTAAGCGGTTATATAGGCAGAGATCCTGTATGTGGTGTTAACGGTGTGGTGTCAATAAAAAAATTCAAGTAATAATGACTGAAAATGATGCACACTCTTGTTGTTTTGCTTCCCCTGCTGTGTCAATGTTAGAAACAAAATTTGCTTAGCAGTAATTTAATCACATTGATGCTGTACCAGCAGCAGTATGCATGTTAAGTGCTAATTCTGTCCAACTCCATTAGAGTCACGGTGGCACTCGGAGATATTTCTGGCGAGCAGCTAATTCAACTGAGACAAATCCATTGCCTTACAATCATCATATCAAGTTTATTCCAGTCTTTTCTCCTAGCCATGCAAATTGAACCTGACACTTCTTAATGGCGATACGCCGAGTGCACCAAGTGTCTCTGAGCTCAGTGTGATTTTAAAAAACGGAACATGCAGGTGACTAAAAAAGAAAACGACAGCACTTTCGGCCTTTTGTTTTCTTACCATATCTGCATGTGGCTCCTGATAGGAGCGCAGTTTGCAGCAGTGAGGATCCCTGCGGCAGATAATGGACAGCAGCCCCACAATAACCACAAAGAACAGCAGAGAAGAAACTGTTTGAAAACAGGAGAGAAGGAAATAGTAATCACATTGATCCGTTTTCCTGTTCAAAAACTGTGCAAAAGAACAGTATCAGAACAGATGGACTCTTTAGTGAAGTTTTCTTTAAATGAATTATATATCGAGTCATTTTTAACTCTTGACTGACAGTCTGTCTCTACAGTGTGAACACTAAAGACATAACTCAGGTGCACTACCCGTCTGTCAAGAACAAGAATAACTTGTAGGTGCCACGATTATTCTGTCAACTATAAATTGTGTTTTATAGTACTTTTAGTCATATGTGGCTATCAAATTAGCTGCTATCTTCTGTCAACACATACAGTATGTGAAACATGAATAAGCCTCATCCCACAGCTGTAATATGGCTGGATTAAGTGCAAATACTACACAGGAGACAAGTAAAAGTCAGTATCTAGAAAAGTGTCTCATCTTCAGATCAGTTAGATATGATTAAAATATGATATGTAGCAGAGTCTTCTTTCTTTTAAACATGTCAGTTAAAAGGGTTACTTACAGGATGCACCCACCACTGTGAGTTGATCCAGTGTCATCTGGTGGGGGAGACCGGTTGGTCTTGGAGTTGTGGACATTTCTTCTGTGCAAACTGATAATACCCCCTTCAGAAATGCCCCTGAACTCACCACCCTCAGCACAAACACTCTCATGTTTTTTATATCGGAGAAAACAAGTGGAGACCAGCCCTGTCGCTCCTTTTCATTGTCTGTTCGGGACAGTCCAAATGCGCTCTGGAAGTCGGATCACAAACTCTCTGCACTCAGTAAACACGCCAAAGCGTTTATGAGCCCGTGAAGGCGCACTGACGCCATCTCCAAACGCGTGACGTCGCCGGCTCTGAGCTGGACGGCAGCAGAGTTTGGTTTATGGTCTGGCACTGGTAGGAGCAGCAGTAGCTATACGGTCAACAGACATATTGGTTAACCTAAGTAACATGTTTTAGTTTTTTTTTTTCTTTTGGTTGTCTCAGAAAATATGTGCAGAGGAGAAATCTCCTAAAGCATCAGTGTAACAAGTCTGACTTACTGTTCATGCGTAGTTTCCACATGTGGCCGATATTTCTAACTGAGATTACAGTCGGTTAACTAACTAGTGTTCGTATTTATAGATAGGAGCTATGAAAAGCATGTCCTCGTTTTCTTCTTTCTTGGGAAACTAAGTAAAAATGGAAATTCTTGGAAAAGGTCTTTTTTTAGGTGATGTTTTCTGATTTATTTGAGATATTTACTATTGTTGCACAAATGGCCAACCTTTTTGTCTTGACTTTTGTTTTACATTTTATTCTGTGACTTTATCAAAATCATCTGTGAATGCAAATTTTAATGCATTACAGGTAAAGATAAAACCCTGGCTTGTTTCATCGTTCTGGACAGTGTCTCGTTTATTTTATATCACTCTCCTATGTCCAGTGCAAGTGCCTTGGTTAAAGGTAACTGCGGAATATATATAGATATATGGCTGTATTCAGTGTATTTCTATCTTTGTAAAAGCTCAGCTTTCTTTTGTTTTTCACTGTTGGACTTTGTAAGGATAAATTCCTTTTTTATATCTGCTTAGCTAAACCAGTAGATCAGCACTCTTGGTTCTGTTTTTGATTGTATGCACAGCAGTGGGTGTGGTGGCAATACTTGGAGTGTACTAAGAAATAAAGGTCAGGCTTCAAGAATAGGAAAGTAAAATTTCCAAGTTCCGCATTCAGGGTGGAACATGTTCATTTGGCCGTCTGGGCAGTCAGTATATTTTGCTGATAGTATCATCTTTGGTCACTCGGGTTTGTCTCCACGTTCTTTGCCCTATTGCCTGTTTGCTGTGTCTATAAAGATTGTGTCTTTTGATTCTTTGATTTGATTTGATTTATTCTTTCAAGCATGTAAAGACAGTTGATATGACAACACACATAATTGTACACATAATCCAATATCAATTTGCTTATACCTAGTACATGCTTGAATGGAGTAGGAAGAAGTCAGACTTATCCAGTCCTAACCCATGACATCATCTTACATCATTGGTTTACAAGCAGTATCTCTACATACATAAACACAGCAGTCTTATATTCCACTAAATCAAAAAATTTTAACAATTTAGACTGTATGAAAGCTCCATTGGTGTGATCCCTATACCCCATCTTATGCACAATTCTTATCGCTCTTTTTTTTTGTAATATATACAATGGTTGAAGTGAGCTTGTGTATGTATTTCCCCAGTTTTCAACGCCATACTCCAAGTATGGTAAAATCATAAATCAAAACATTTTAACAATTTAGACTGTATGAAAGCTCCATTGGTGTGATCCCTATACCCCATCTTATGCACAATTCTTATCGCTCTTTTTTGTAATATATACAATGGTTGAAGTGAGCTTTTGTATGTATTTCCCCAGTTTTCAACGCCATACTCTAAGTATGGTAAAATCAATGAAGAATACAAAATGCGTAGTGCTTTCCCGTTCAAAATATATCTAACCCTTGCCAATATCGATATATTTTTTGCTATTTTGTTCGGAACATATCTGATTCTTTCATTCACTGTTTGACTTGGTGGTGATCATTCAGCTGAATTACTTGCATGCTTTAATAAATTCATAAAAAGATGACTGAGCTCTTTGTTCCTTTCTCACCACTTTTATTAGTTTTGCCACTACACACATAACAACACGTTCCTATCTTTCAGATGAAAAAACTTCTGAAAACCCTTTGGGGGACCCTTGAAGGGTCCATGCCCCCGGTGTACACTGGATAGCTAGACTACACCTGGCCCTGCATTTGTGTTTTGTGTGCATCTTTTTATGGTAGTTTTGCATCTCCCTGTGATTGTTTTGCTTTGCTTTTTGATAGTTTAGCATTACATTTTTGTGGTTCTGTGTCTCTTTAGTATCCCTTTGTTGCCCTTTATGGTCATTTTTTTGTCTTTGTAGTATTTGGGTGGTATTCAAATGGGATTTTTATGTCATTTGTGGTAATTTTATATGTTGTGACCCTTTGTTTGGCATCTATTTATAGTTTTTAACATTGCTGAAGCACTGGCCCAGGTCCCCCTGACCTCTAAGGCCCCTGGGCCTATGCCAGGTGGCCCCATTCTTAAATCCATCCAAGGATAAGCCTATTACTAGTTTTGGGCTTAATACTGACCCAAGTAGGGACAAATCTGACTCAGTGATATTTAGTGTGTATAAGAAGTGGGAGTTTGCTGTAGTCGAATAAAAAATCATTCTACTCAAAACAATGGAAATGTACAACGACAGTAGGAGGACGCTTTCTTTAAATAATATATTATACAAACACTTACCATCAAATATGTAAGTTAACGCACTGCGTGTAATTTTCGGAGACAAACTTTCAGCAATCTCAGGACGGAGATAGACACGTGTGCGCGCAGCTGAGAGTGCACCGTGCGCGCGCGCTCACCCGTCACTGGAGACGAAAAAATGGTGGCCAGCGCTCGAGTGCTGAAGCTTCTCCGACGATATAAACTAGCGATTGCTGCCGCTTTGACTATCCTCCTGATTCAAGGGCTTGTAGTATGGAGTCTGAGAAGTCTGGAAGAGGGCGAGGCAGAGGTAAGAAACAATCCCTCCGATTATGTTTGAAATGACAGCTATTCGGTTGGGTTTAATTATAGAGCTAGCCGTTAGCGCTTAGCTTAGCTCGCGGTGTGTTGTGATACAGTAAGGCTAGTTGATGTTAGCCACGTTAGCAGTTGGAGGAACAGCGTTGCTCAGAAACATTTCAGTACAACCGGACCAGCCCCGTCCTGTCTGTCTGTCTGTCTGACACTGACCACAGTACAAGACACAAAGTACACTGGAATTTCCCGCAATGATAGGACTGGTTACATGGTAGTTAACTAGTTTAAGAAGCAGCAGTGGTCCCAACACCACCGCTGGTTGTCAAGTAACGTTACATTTAATGTGGATTTACTATGGTGTTGAAATGTGATGATGGGCAGAGAGAGGGAACAGACAGCTAAAAGGTGGAGGACGTGTATGGAGTGAGGCAACTTTGTGTGAGCATGAGAAAACACCCTGTTATGTTTCAGTGAAACTGTTCAGTGAGTTGGACCGCCTCAAAATATCCAGCATCTCTCCTGCTTTCTTTTCTCTGTCCCTATTTGTATCTAGCAGTGTTGTTCCATTTTAATGACTACGCTTTGATTCAGACTGGAACACCCAGGGAGGGAGCATTTCCCGGAGATAAAAGCCGAAGTTTAGCAGAGACTTGCCTCCACTACATACCACTGAAACGGATTATTTAGCCAAGTCCTCTGTGGGAGTCTTATTCTTTGTGTTCCTCCCACACCTGGAGGCAAGGTACGGTGAGCTGTTAACAGCTGTGACCTGTGGAGGACTGTGTGTGTAGAGAAATGGGTTTTTGA